GCACGCCGATAGTAGACTACCAGACTTACGCGCTTATACTAGACTACTACACTAAAGCGCCGATAATAGATTAGTAGACTTACGCACTGATACAAGATCAGTAGCCCTACCCACCGATAATAGATTAGAGACATACGCGCTGATAATAGATCAGAAGACATACGCGCTGATAATAGATCAGTAGACCTACGCGCTGATACTAGATCAGTAGACCTACGCGCCGATAATAGATTAGTAGACCTACGCACTGATACAAGATCAGTAGACCTACGCACCGATAATAGATTAGAGACATACGCGCTGATAATAGATCAGTAGACCTACGCTGATACTAGATCAGTAGACCTACGCGCTGATAATAGATTAGTAGACCTACGCGCTGATACAAGATCAGTAGACCTACGCGCCGATAATAGATTAGAAACCTACGCGCTGATAATAGATCAGTAGACCTACGCGCTGATAATAAGTTAATAGACTTACGCGCTGATACTGGACTACTAGACTAGATTACCAGACTTACGCGCCAATACTATACTTAAACCATTGAGAGAGTTCTTTTGACTTCATAAATGCGATTTGTCACGTGCCTTTTTTAACGACCGTTCATTTTGACATATGCTTATTACGTGTCGATATTTGACCAGTAGAATAACCCACCGATACTAGACTTGGGCGCTGATACTAGACAACGTCACATACACGTCGATATTAGACCAGTAGAATCACGCACCAATACTAGATTGCTAGACTTGCACGCCGATAGTAGACTACCAGACTTACGCGCTTATACTAGACTACTACACTAACGCGCCGATAATAGATCAGTAGACCTACGCGCTGATAATAGATTAGAGACCTACGCGCTGATACAAGATCAGTAGACCTACGCGCCGATAATAGATTAGAGACCTACGCGCTGATAATAGATCAGTAGACCTACGCGCTGATACTAGATCAGTAGACCTACGCGCTGATAATAGATTAGTATACCTACGCACTGATACTAGACTACTGAACAGACACGATGGTGCCAGGGCCCTTATTCATTTAACCGTTATCATGCTCAATCATGGATTTTGTGCTCAAGCCTAATTTTTGTTTCGTTTATAAATTATCAATAAAATATTATGTTGTCGATGATTTGGTGAAAACAAATAAAAAAGACTTTAAGCCAAATACTGTTTTCAATGTTTAGATTTGACGTTTTGATCGTTTGACATGATTTAAGTGAATTACAAGAAAAATGGTTTGAGCCAAAATCCATGTTTGAGCATGAGAATGGTTTCATGAATACGGGCCAAGATCTTCTTTCCGTCCGAAAATACTTATTTTTCGATATTCTGTTATAACGAATTTATTTCCTAGGGGTTGAACTCTGTAATTGGCGTGGGGGTATTTGAGGGAAATATGCAGTGTTGTCTTGTATTTCATTTTCCAAATTCACCAGCCGCATGTATGTCTGCTTCTAATTTAAAAACAAATGCATTAAAGTGATTGGTTGATAGTTGTAGTGTTTTGAGTGTTGTTGTTTGAACCAATTATGATGAGGTTTGGTGAAGTTTTAAAGATTTGAATATTTTCTTGCCAAAATGATAAAAAGGTGGTGTTGTCGCTGTAAGAACCAAATTATACACATACTGGGGCTTTCCAAGTCTATCCAACTCAAGACTTTTTAGATATATAAGCAGACTTTAAGAGCGAACTAGTGATTAAGCTGTGAGCTGTAATAATTAAGATTGATAACTCTATTGATATACTTTGTATGCAATCAACTCAATAATTTTGCCAGACATTCAAACAGGCACAGGGACCTGAGATTTGTTTTGCCATCCCCAATTATGGTAAGTACGAGCATCATTGGGGGTGGCAATTTCACCGAAAGTTAATCTAAACCCATAAAACGTGTAAAATTACTCTGAACACCTTAGTTCAGGTCAAAATATAGCTGTAACAAATTATCAGGTCCCTGTGGAAACAGGAATCATCGTAGTCTGAAAAATGACATTGATCTGGTAGATAATCATCCTCGATACTTCAGGGGTTACACTCACTTTCGCTCCCTGCACCCCTGGAATATGTCATAGAAAAATTGAAGGCACAAAGGTAGCTGATTGGTTGGTCTCAGGTAAAGAAACCTGACCAATCGCCAGGCTGATACCTGTCCTTTGAAGATTACAGAGGAGCAACACTCGACTTCAATGACATTCAAATGTTACCGTTACGTGATCTCGAGATTCTTTGATGAACATCAAAGGATCGAACTAGTCTTCTTGTCTCGTCAATAAGGTGGCGCACACTGAGCCTTCAATTTTACTATGACATATTCCAGGGGAGTAGAGAGCGTAAGTGAGCGTAACCCCTGGTTTATCGAGAATGGTAGATCGTGTGAATCTGTGTACTAGTATTGGTTTCATGATGAGTATACGTGTCACAAAAAAGTGAATGTTTTCATTTTTTAAGTCTTTTTGAATCTCCTGTTCAACTTGTCTAATATGTGGTTGTTTGGACTGAAATGATATTGATGGAAACCAAGGTGTGATATAACACGAGTCGTTAGTCTTTTCGTACTTAGTAAGTTGTCAAAGTTTCACTGAATGAATTCAATATGCGTATAACCAAGACCAGGAGAGGACGGACTAAATGCAAGAAAATTAGAAACTGCAGACTGTATTCAAAACAGTAGACGGGTGGCTTTATCTAAAAGACGGGAGAGAGAGCGGATTGTATCCCAAAAGTTCGAAGGATCACCGACAACACCGAGGGACGTCTGACTATACCGAGGGACGACAGACTATACCGAGGGACGAGGGACGACAGACTATACCGAGGGACGACAGACTATACCGAGGTACGACTGACTATACCGAGGGACGACTGACTATACCGAGGGACGACTGACTATACCGAGGGACGGCAGACTATACCGAGGGACGACTGACCATACCGGGGGACGACTGACCATACCGAGGGACGACAGACTATACCGAGGGACGACTGACTATACCGAGGGACGGCGGACTATACCGAGGGACGACTGACTATACCGGGGGACGACTGACCATACCGAGGGACGACAGACTATACCGAGGGACGACTGACTATCCCGAGGGACGACAGACTATACCGAGGGACGGCTGACTATACCGAGGGACGACAGACTATGCCGAGGGACGACTGACTATACCGAGGGACGACTGACTATACCGGGGGACGACTGACCATACCGAGGGACGACAGACCATACCGAGGGACGGCTGACTATACCGAGGGACGACTGACTATACCGAGGGACGACTGACCATGCCGAGGGACGACAGACTATACCGAGGGACGACTGACTATACCGAGGGACGACTGACTATACCATAGACGGTGGATGACCAAGTAAGGTGATCGTGAATCAGAGAACATCCCATATCAAGTAAATTAAGGCATCTGACATTCTGCTACCACTAGCCCTCCATCATTGGGTCACGGGTTCGAGGTCTACGTGGGGCGGTCGCCAGATATTGGCCGTAGGTCGGTGTTTTTTCTCAGGAAACTCCGGCATTCTTCCCCCACCAAAACCTGACACGTCCTTAAATGACCATAGCTGTTAAAAGGACGTGAAACACAAACAAACCAATAGTACAGGGGTTAATTTTAAAACATATTTTGGCTTGAAATGGTACATATGGGATGGCTCAATTATGATTATATTATATAGTTGACATGTACCTGCTGTGAGCCGAGGTCGACGACCTTGTATTTACTTCACCATGTTCTTTATGCCAAACTATACTAATTATGTATAGACAACCGAATAGAAGAATTTTGACTAGTTGTATGTATACATGTATCAGTTATGGAGATTTCTGTACTAGGAGTCAGGTAAATACTAATTTAAGTGTTTATATATTTACTATATGTCACAGTTGCAGTATCTAACAAGAGCAATACATGTAAGGCCATACTTGTTTAAATTTAATTAAAAATAAAACTGATCATCAGCCTGTGTCTAATGGTGTTTTTTTTTTTTACTTCTAAAACAAAACATAGTCCTGTTTGCAGGGAAAACTCGATTACAACATGTTAAATTCGTCTTTTTAACGTAACGGGAAAAAAACGTGCAAAGAGCTCTGTACGAGATTCAAAAGTCCACTGTAGCTGCAAATTTGCCGTTTACATCTATAACGCATAGGATTAAGCCATGACATGGCGATTTTTTTTTTCTTTAAAAGAGTTTCATCGAATGCAAAAACTTCATCTGAGGTTCTCAAGTTTCTTTTCATAGAAGAAAGTCCATGTACATGTAAGAAGTTTAGTATTATTGTGGTCTATTTAACAGAACACCGACAGTCCTATATGATGTTATAAAATCGTTTACATCAAATTATAGGGGCGTGACAGAGATCTCTACCCCACAGTCCACAGATCCCCAGTCCACGGTCGTATATGTATGTGCTTTATGTATATCAAGGGCGTGACACACATATTCCGTCCCCACAGTCTATACACCGTATGTATATAAGTGGTTGGGCACAGGGATTAGATCCCTGCCCCACGGTCCGTAGTATACATTATAATACTAAAACTGTCCGATACATCAATTAAATCTCATGTCTAAGTTTTTAATGTGTTTTAAATAAATACATGCAAAAATTACTGTTTTACTTTTAAATTGTCAAAGCAGAGACGTATTATACGTCTCTGGTCAAAGTAATTTTATTCCAAAGTAGAAAATGATGTTTTGTCTTTATGTGAATTATCAGAATAATTACGGTAAAGTTGAAAATGCTAAAACGTGCAAAACGGGCACCTGTCAATTTCGCAGTTGATTGATACGCGAGGATGAACATTTCAGATATCCCTTTAAATCGCACAGACGTTTGAGTATGTGTAATAAACAAAAATGTATAAAGTAATATATATATAGTGTACCCAATCTAGCCCACAGGTGAGTGAAAACCGTACAACACGCGTACTCGCCTGGGAAAGTTATCAGATACGGACTATAACTTTGTGCTGAAAGGGGAGAACGGGGTTACAGAATCTCAAAATGGCGGAGGGTTTTACCGAAGTTTATCAAGGTGAGAAAAAGTTTGAAACGGGGAATTAGAATGAAATCAACATTGATTGCAGCTATTTTAAGAACGCCGTATTGCCGTGGTATATGTGTGGGACACTGTGCGAGTCCTTTGTTCCCCGCTAACCACTTTTATAGGTGTTGTGGTGCTCGTCTGTCAAAATTTCTTGATCGGGTCAGGAACCGAGTTTGCATTGGGAAAGGTAAACAGTGGAGTGTCGGAGGGTCAGGATAGTGCCGTTGGATGTTACAGTTTCGTTGGATATGTCCAGGACTATTTATTTCAGAGCTGGTAAAACTTATGGACGATCATAAAGCCATTTATGTTAATGAGGTAGAGTAGTTGCAAAACTTTCAGGAATGAGGGGGATCGATGTGTATTGGGAATGGGTTCAAGAGGATGGCGGAGGGGGATGGGGAAGAGTGTGTTTATATATGGGCAATGTTTTTTTTTTTAAAATACAGTCGACACCACCTCTGACCAAACTGTGGGAATGGGACGTCCAGTACATTTGTTTTATTGCAGGGATTGATTTTATATTGAACATTTATGATGGTGTGTATTGGAAATTAGTTGTTTATTTAGACAGCATAATAGACTGATACTAGATTTAGTCCTATTGTGCAAGGCATCTTTCTCATCAACACTTTTGAATAATTTAATATTTAATATAAAATATAACTCACATTTACCATGCTGTCAAAGTATATTCTTATAATTATGTATAGTTAAAGCTAAAGGCGTATGTTATGTCATGCGTAAGTCTAGTTAGAATAGATTTGGAATCATTATAAGCCAATATAATTGTATGTTACTGATGACACCGGACATTGTTACGTCCTTCAGCGTTGGATCCTGGTCTTGTCTATTGTATTTCCCCTCATCGTATACTGTTAATTAATTTGGTTTTTGGATAATCATGGTCAGTATTTTAATATAACGCATCAATCATCCCCAATTTTAGCCCTATAATTATACTTGACCATGCATAGGTCATGTGTTACCAGGCCACTGCATAGCAGGTGGTCAGCTAATGATTTGTTGTTAGCTTATCATGACCATAGACTCTCTAAAATGAAAACTTTTAGGCTTGCTTCAAAAAATCATATATGAGGTTGAGATTCAGTTTAGTACCTGAATTGTGTTGTTTTCAATATTTGACGTTTCTATCAGCAGCTGATTTGAGACTGAAAAGGTCAGTCAAGGTTAGACTTTTATTTAGGTCAAAAAACTTCAGTGCAGCTATGCAAATGAGCCACTTTGAAGGACCTGAAATGAAATAGGATTGGTGTCCGTATATAGTAATTTCAAAATCATAGGAACCATAATTAAACAATTTTGTTATTTAGATTCGAGGAGCAGTTGGAAAATTAATTTTCATGAAATTAACATTAACATGAAATTAAGTGATATTGTAATATAGATTAAATGTTTAAGTTATTAAAGATTTAAGAAAGATGTGTAACAATTTTCTCATTTCCAGGTAATCAAATTGTTTTATAAAGAACAACAGCAACAAAACTAACACCACAGGTGTTCATGTAAATCTCGTTTATGATAGAACCTACACTAAATATGTAAGAGCAGGTAAACTGCGGACAGACAGAGTGTTATTAAGTCTTTACACATACAGGATACGCCACTACAGAACTTGACAAAAATATTTACTTATCATGAATAACAATGTCGTGATAAAAGCGGTCGAGGACAGCGGAATGTTAGGCATAAAACCACTTGTACAAAGCTGATATTATACCGTACTCTATAACCTTCCGAGATAAAAATCAGTAATGTTGTCACATATACACCAATATTTCAATGTACTTTTTACAAACATTAGTTTATACCGTCAGCTTTTGTTTTTGATTGTCTCTGTCTTCAATACTGTGGTTGAAACTAGCCACAGGGTGGAATTGTTGTGTTTCTGCGTACAAAGGAATCCTGTTAAAGGCTTTGGGATGCAGTACATACATTGCTTGATCCTAAGCCTGGGGCGTCAGTCTAGCCCGAATTATCCACACAATAAACATGATGAACATGTTGGTATGCCTGGGTAGATTCTGGATTATTCTTTTCTATCTTTATTGGATAATGATTGAATTAACCGGTTGTATTTGTATTGAAAGAAAACACCTTTGCCTTCCAGTCGATTGACTTGTGTAAACTTTTCAAGGTATTCAGTGTTAAACCAATATTTTTCAAAACCTGTTAACATTCAATGCTTTTATTTTCACTAGTGTTCTAGATGATGACATAATTGAGACATTTATTTGGTCATGGCTAATAAAAAAAATCATTCTTCTATAAGTATTTCATAGATACATGAGGTGACTATACGGGGCTCCTAACCTGCAATAAGTTCCTCTAGATTAGATCATGATCATAATGATATGCTGCTTTGCGATTACTGATACAAATGATTTTAACTTTTACTGAAACCTGTTATAGTAATGGATCAATTATAAGTTAGTGAAAACTAATTGGTTTACAAGCTTTTGATTACAAACCATTCACCCCTGAAAACACATTTGAAGTCTTCCAATTCAAAGGATGGAATAGTTCATTATGAAAATTCAGGGCTGAATGAGTTCATGGAAAAGTGCAACAAACTGTTACCTGCCTCACAAGTTATGATTGTGATCTTTACTCTTAAAAAAAAGCTAAATCTTGTTTTCAGTTGGTTATACACTGTCAGCACAAATTACCTTGTCAGCACAAAATAATAATGTCAAGTAAGATTAATTTTGCAGATGGTATTATTTATTTTAAGGGGTATATGAAGTCATGATCAGGAGGGATAGCTTTGATGGGCACATATTGTATGTAAGATTGTGATGTTTGACACTAGTGTAGAATTCGTGTGTTTTTATACGGATCAAGGTCCAGTGTGTGCGACGGTGTAAGAAGATAAACCCGTCTCCAGTGATGCCATTACATCTATAGCCCCCACGCTCATACCTTTAGGAAGGCAATTCAACGGTGTTTTATGACAACAGGACAAATCTCCAGGACATGAGACTAACTTGAATGGGGTCTACTTTCACAAAGCCTCAAATATCTCATTTGTTATGAAGTGGATTTGATATCACTGGTCGCTCACGATGTCTGCTTTAATTTAATGCTGATGGTTGTCGAGTCAATAAAAGATAGCTAAATCATCTATTGATATCAAATTTAAGGTCTAGTACTACAATTTCTGGTGTTAGATGTTTTAATCCATGACTAGATGATGCTGTGTGTTGCAATACCACTGTCTAATTAATACAACAGAGGTCAAGGTTGCAGGGAAAGGTCAAATATAATATATTTGTTTTGGTTACCTGGGCAATGACTTCATTTGAGTGAAAAAATCAAATTTTCATGAAGCATAGATAAATTAATTTATGCCAAAACAGATCATTTGTCATTTGATATACCAGAATATCGTGTTGTAGACATTGAATGCTCAAGGTCAAGGTTTCAGCAAGAGGTCAAAAGTCAAGTCTGTTTCTTTTCTGGACAGCTATTTTTGAATAGCAGAACTTTTCTCAGTGAAAAGCCAAAGGTGGTTGTATAATATGTTCTTGTTCTTGTGCTTGTTTTTAGGACTGTTGATGGTACCGATGTGTTGCATGCACCTGATATACCTGATCATGAAATGTGCAGGATAAAAGAATCAAATTTAAAGTCATTCGGCTATATACAATTGTACGTTTGGATGCTTCTCTGGGCAAGAATTTTTTGAAAGGTGTAACAGGTTTTGTCACGCCATTGATTTACATAAAACCTATATATATTGAAAATTTCTCACACAGAAGACGATATTATGGCTATAGAGATAGTGTTGTGTACAATATTTTGGTCCCCCATTATGATTTCCAATTTCATGGTCAATTATTTATTATGGTAAATACTGTCTTCTAAAAGTGTATATGGCAACCGAGAACTTCCAGTAACAAAATTCCTGTTCATTGTGCAAATTAAACCCAGTAAAATGAAGAAATAGAATGAACTTAACATTCGGGGCAATTATTTATCAATTGGTGGTTAAATGATATTTGCTGATCGTTTTTGATCACAGATCATGAACCTCCACTGAAACCCATTGCTCGAGAGAACTTATATATCTATATAATATATACTATCGGTTATATTATTCTGTCGTTGAGACCGGAGTTCGTTTAAGTGGTTTGTGTTGATTTGATCACCATATCAAATTGAGGGGGAAAAAATTGCGGTGAACCCCGCATGTTTCATATGTCTTATTCCTATATGCTATAATAGATTGGCCTGCTTAAGCTTGAATAAGGACCCATATTTTTCTTCTACCTCTATATTAACTCATTCACCCCTGAAATTTCATAATGAACTATTCCAAACTTTGAATTGGAAGAGTTCAAATGTGTCTTCAGGGGTGAATGAGTAAACTAGTTATTACCTTAGAGTTGGCCATTTTTGTGGCTGGAAATTTTCTTCATTTTTTCTCCAAGTGGGAGGATTGGATTTTCATGAATACTGTCCCCAATATAGATTTCAACCTTTCGTATCCTGATTTTTAGTAAAATCTAATCTAACAAATAGGATTACACTATTGAACTTTTCTCCAATGTATCGTGTCCTCTATATACCCATCCTTGAACTGATCTCCATGTTCTGATACACCAGCTAGCACCTGTATGAAATACCTGTCACAAATTATAATTTTATAATTTGTGACAGGTATTTCAACAATCACACTGTATCAACGGGACAGTTCCGCACATACATGCATGCTACTAGAATTGCCTACTAATGACAATATCAGTATATATTGGTTACGATGCAGATTTTATCTCGGATATGATTTGTATGTGTGTCCTATTAATTGTACAAATCAAGTTTTCTTTATCACATCAATCTTAGGAAAATTATCAAAAATATCATCCCGAAAAAAATTAAAGATTAAAATATACGTCATCATGTGTTAAAAAACATAAGCTATTCAACCGGATTGTTTGAAGACATAATTAGCTAATTATATAAGATTACTTGATCGTCAGCAACTCGTATAAAACTATAGGCAATGAAAAACCGTGATATATTCTTTGTACTTTGATATAAATCTGCCCAGCAGGAGATAACAAACTCACAGTGGATTTAATTACTTGTAGAGAACAAGTATTCGTGAACTCGATTTGCATCCTGTAGGTATATTTTTCCGTGAGAAATAGGACTTTAGGTTGTGTATTCTCACTAATTGTCTGCCACGGAGCTTTATTCCATGTTCTGTAGACTTACGGTTGTATGTGCAGCATTCTCCTCACCTTCTTATTTCATCGCCCTGTGGTACTCCTGTGTTTCAGAGTAGATTGATGGCAAAAACACATGGGGAGACGGTGCTTTAGGCATTATTTCACTGTAGAGCCTCGGAATTTCTGATGAGGAAATAATATATATACCGCCTTTTTTTCTGACTCTGATGATACCATGTTTGTTAATTATAATAGTCTAGGAGAATAGAGGTTGAAATTTAGGAATTCAGACTGTAGCATGATATTGGCTTTTAAGTGACCATAAACACTTCGGAGAGAGCTTGAGGCAGTTATTTGATCAAATATATAGATTTTCCAGCCATGCCGATGACAGTTATGAAGAAGTACAATTACTTTCTAATCCAAGATTTTATCTTATCATCCCCCAGAACCCAGTTACAAATTTAAATATCTAATTATTTCAACATATAGGTAAATCCATATTTATCATCTTCAGCTTGGAAGTTGGACCACTGGCTGCAATATTATTTTATTATATTCATATTTCGTGGCAATAAGATGCTGTTCCCTTAAAATGTAAATCTGACTTCAAGACGAATAGTGAATTTTACCTAATTAGCAAATAAAATAAAGGTGCTTAGCAATTTGGTTAAATTAGACCAAAGAATGATTGAGGAACCTTTTCAAATTTTCGCAAAAATTAATATGAAAGATACTTCTAGGTAAGTTGGTAGAATACGGTGTAGGGATGGGATACTTAACCAGAAAACGGATAAGGGGAACTTTTCATAGTTTAGTAATTCATTTTCTTTGGCTGTTGTGACAGTAAAATTAAATTAACCCTTAATTTGTAATTGTGCGCATGCAGGTATATATATATATATATATAGGTGTATCGAAGACAGGGGTTGGATCTGAGGATAAGTATATGTAAATTCAGTTTGTAAAATAACACCAAAGCAGTTTGTGTCTGTTGAGGGTACAGTTACAAACAGCTATAGTATATACACCGAAAGGCTTCATTACAAAACAAAGCTCAATTCTGCACGATTAATCACGGAATCTGAATACCAGCTCTCGCAAACGGATACGTGCAAAAAGTTGACAATAAACATTCTTTGTGGAATGTATCAGATACGTCATGTGTGGAGGTGTCTTGTCATGTATACTGGCTTGTGTCAGCATCAACACTGGGATATATGCATTCATTATACATTTAACACATGCAAAAACTGTTTCTGTGGATTTTTAAGTTGATGAAGCACGACATGTTTATAGCTGATTTCTCGTATAGGTAAGCTGGGAAGACATTTATGCGCACTCTTATAGTATAATACTGGATTGGGAAATGGGACTGCAATTTATAGTTTAACCTTTGTGATATTTATAATGATGGATGATCAGTGGTTCATAGTGTATGTATGTAGTATAATTCCATGCTGAAAAGCAAAATTAATACAGGGTATTTACAAATAGTTGGGTAAAAATTATTTGGTATACAGTAGTGCAAATTTCTTGAAATGATAGATGGAGGCATATGCAAAAATCATACTGGAAATATAGTTTAAATAAGAAGCAAGAGAGTTTTTTATTTTTTCAAAAACATGAAAAAAATAGTTTGCAAAATCACTTTATTTTGCTATTCCGTCTTTGTGTATTGCAGAGTTATCTTCTCTTGTGAGCAGGTATTGATTGTTACGTCATTTGTTTGTGAGAGTAACGTCATTAATTTTTGAGAAAACAACGTAATTTTCTCACACAAACCAATGACGTAACAATCAATACCTGTGTTCACAAGAGAAGATAACTCTGCAATACGCCAAGACGGAATACCCAGTACATAGTTAAACTGATGTGCTAAAAATATTTGTTTACAAAACTCATATATATATATATATGTATTGTTGTATTGTTCATTATATATACAGTTTCAGTAAACAGCAACATACAATGTATATGTATATAGTTGTGCATATTGTATCGTCACATTAGCTGCTCAGTTTACTAGCTTGAATAAACATGCTTAACTAACACTAAAAATAAGACTATAGTACTAAGTAGAATAAGTTAAGATTTATTTTAATGAATCTAGACCAGAATCGTAGTTTTTGCTTTTTCTTTATACATTTACATGTGTAGCTACCAAACGTATTTTTTTAGTGCCTAACCAAAATTTTATTTTGCCAATTTTAGACTGTTCTATGTACCGGTAATACTAAAACTATTTTCTGAAAGTTTTGCCTACCACCCCACCTACAATTAGCACTGACATGATATATAATGCTATTAAAATTTGAAGTTGCCTAAACCTGAATAATAGGTATGTTGTATTTCTCATCATTGGCATAAATCTGGCATGTATGCATGCATGCATGCATGCATGCAACAAATTAAGTTTGACCTCTTCAGAGGTCATGGTCAAGTGTGCCTGTGTGTGAAGAAGTAGTTACAAGAGCTGGTTGTGTAGTTGTAGAAGTGTGTGGGGCTCGGTGTGAGCCAGACCCCCCTATACACTATCAGCTCACTAAATCAGACACTGTGTGGCTACAATACAGAGCGGCTTACGTAAGTCAGTCTGAGTGTAGATCCAGTCACAGGGAAAACATGACACTTACTTTGTGTGATAACTATTTGGGGGGGTTTTAAGGTAAAAGAGTTTAATGTATATCTGAATAAAGACATATACTGTTCGTACCTTTCTTAATGTGTTTTGTTTTGCTCTTAATTGGTTCTTATCTGGTCAATGTTATATATTGAGTGGCATCGACTTGTTTAACTCATTCACCCCTGAAATTTCATGATGAACTATTCCAACCTTTGAATTGGAATAGTTCAAATGTGTCTTCAGGGGTGAATGAGTTAAATTAATCTGATGAATGGTATAAGCAGATTTCATTGTAAAACTTCAGAAATAATTTGAGGAATTCAAATGGTGTCTGATTTCTACTTTAAGTTATGATTTTTAGTTTAAAGACAATTAAAATAAATTTAGCATTCCAAGGATCTACAATTAATGTACCTTAGATTTATTTCTCGATGGTCTTTTATTAGATATCCTACACATTAGGGTACACTGTACTTTAAATTGACAAAATTAATGAAATCCACATTTCCTTGTAATATACATATACTGTGATATTATAATGTACTGGTAATATAATGTTATTTTGAAATTAAGATCAGTTTTTGAGAAATTAAACAGAAAATCAAGCCTTTGCTCGGAATGTTCCATGCCAATTCTATATCACTGCAATTAACTTTGGTCCAATGTATATATCCTAACAGTTGTGTTATGATGTATATAGAGCTACATTTTTACTGTACATTTTATATAAACATTTTTTTTTGTCTCCTGCAGATGAGGTGATATGACTACAGGAGCATGGTGGAGGCTAGTGAGGAGCCGACCTGTGGTCACTGTGCGGAGAGGCTGATGACCACTGCTTGACCAAGGGATTTACTGGACCCTACAGACGATGTAGTGGGATTTGTTGATGTGTTTGTTTATAGGTGAAGTTCGTTATTGTGTTTTAGACGCGAGTGGAAGCTATGTTGTGTTTGTGAAGCGGTGAATCTTTCCTTTTTGTACATAGTGTGTATAAAGGTTTTTTTTGTGGTATTTATCATTACTGTGTACAGATGTTAATTATTGAAATTCAAGGAGTTTTACCAATGCTGTGTTAAAAGATTTCATCACATTTTGTCCATAAATATGGAAGACCCGACAATGGAAGAGCAGACTGAAGCAAACATTGAACCAGAAACAGAACAAAACAATGTCGATTTAAACCCTGATTTAGATCCAGAATCTGATCAGGAACCGGAAACAAAGGATGAGGAGGATAAACTTGAACCAGATCAGGAGGAGGATACAGAGGAGGAACAACCAAGATGTTCTGTTTCACCAAAGATAGCCAGGCCCAAACTTCCGGAATTCACTGGGAATGGACGTATTTCTAGTCATACTCGTTCTAAAACTGACCCGGGAAGGGGAGGGGAGATCAAGGCCATCATTGATAAAACAATGGAAGATATCAAAGAATTAAACAAAGTGGACTTCACAATTTATAACCGTCCAAAAGTCTTCCCCAAACCTCTACACCAAAGATCTCAGTCCACGCACGCCTCTCCCCGTGCTTCCCCAACCCCAGGCTCTCCTTCCGTGGAGGAGAAAGTCTCCGCACTCAACAGGAACCGAAGTCGTAGTCTGAAAGTGCTCACAGACATGTTGAAGAGCGGGCGAGGTGGTAATGATTTCAGGTCGGGCAACATTCCAGACGTGGGAAATGATGTCAAGTCCAACAGTGACAGTCAGCTGCTTCCTCGCCGAAAGAGGGAGGGCAAGGAGTCCAGTGTTGAGCGCCGGTCAAGCTCTGACGGTCAGCTGCAGGCTAGGCGTCAGGATTCTTCAGGGGCCTTAACTCACGAGTCCCGAGGGTCTGGTGCTCGCACTCCAGACATTTATTCCCATCAGAAAGAATTTGGGCAGTCTGATAGGCATTATAGTGATCACAATGAACAGAAGCGTAAAGGGGGCACACTTCCTCGGTATAGGCAGGAGTCTGGCAAATTCAGGCGAGCTAAAAGTGAAGTGCGCAAAGCTGCACCTGTATCTGATGATGAGGGGCTGGACGTTACGTCAGATCATGAGTCTGGAGGTCACGGTTTGGTGAAACCTTTTCATTCAATCGACACAAACTCTAAATTTTTCACACTATACAAGACTAACCCTTCAAAGAGAAGACCTCATTTTAGTGGTTTTGTAAAGACACGCTATCAATCTAATTCTCAGGGCGAGGAGCAGGGGACTAGGCCAGATGATCAGATTGGTTCAGCCAGTAGAAGGTTCACACGACTTGAGCTTACACCACTCACCAGCAAGGCGGCCAAAAGCCGACTTTCATCCCTCAGACATGTGACTCATCCTCCGCAGTCACAAACAACATTCCGAGAGGGCGGAACAATGGACTCCAATGGGTTTGGAACACTTTTGAAGTCTCCGAGCACAGAGAGTCCTCCGCCTTTCCCTGGAGAGGCGGAGAAAACAAGTGACCTGTCACTAACTGACAGTCAGACTGGCCAGAGTGACAGCATGGACGAGGCGTCGTACAGCGAACAGGATGATCAGAGCGAGGCTCAGACAGAGTCATGTGATAATGCCAGTGACGTAGACACCATCAAACCAGCAGAGAAAAAAAGCAACGGGAAAACTTTAAAACAGAAATCCAAGAGTGATCCAAGTTCTGACAAAAGTCAGTCGATTGATCAGTCAGAACTGCCTCAATTGATTACTGTGTCTCAAAGCACTCCTCACTTGTCCACGGATGGTAGCCAGGATATTGAGGAGGAGGTAACTCCAGACACAACCATTGACACAGACAGTCAGGAAGAGGATAGACGACGCCGGACCCTGAGCGCTCACCAATCATTTGATGATGAAGTGCCGCTTCAGTTCGATGCCACCAGTAGTACTGGTGGAAGTGGTAGTCCCATGTCCTACTCAATAGAGGAGGAGGGATTGTTGTCCCCCGATAGTGATGGCCCACCCCCTAGTTTTGTGTCGGTGATGTACGGGGTGACTTCTGCTCCGTCCACACCTGTCAATCAGTCCCCGACAAACACGCTGGAACGTACCAACTATCTCAATGTCCCAACCAGTGTCACAATCTCTAGCACTTCCAACAATAAGAAATCTATAGGGCGGAGTGCAAGCTCAGCCAGTGTACTCCATCGGGAACGGAAGTTCTCCGGAGGTAGCAAGGACAAGGAAAATATACGTAAACACAGTGTCACTATCGGTGATGACTCCGCAGCCACACCGAAACCAGAGTTGTTCCCCTTGGGGGACAGTAGTGGCATGCAGGCTCTGAGTATGCCCAGTATGACCTCCACATGGAAGAAGGAGCGAGGACCCTCTATGTCTCCAGAAAGGGACCAGTCTCTAGTCAAGGTAAGCATATAGCTCCTGATCACAAAATACAGTTAAAATCTAACCAGTAACTGAGCAAGATCAGATCATCACAGTAGAGGGCATCCTCGATATCCAGGGGTTACGCTCACATACGCTCTCTACGCCCCTGGAATATGTCATAGCAAAATTGAAGGCACAAAGATAGCTGTTTAATTGGTCGCTGGTATATATACCTGTCCTTTGAAGATTACAAAGGAGTGACACCCGACTTCAAAGTCAGTCAATTTCTATCGTTATGACAACAAGATTCTTTTGATGCACATCAAAGGATCAAACAAGTCTTCTTGTCTCATCAACAAGGCGGTGCACACTGAGCCTTCAATTTTGCTATGACATATCCCAGGGGTGCAGAGAGTGTAAGTGAGCGTAACCCTTGGATATCGAGGATGAGTTAGAGGCCAATGATTCAGTGCGGATGCTACAGAATCTTAGTCTGAAACTGAAATACCCTGATCTGGCTCAGTTACAGGTTTATTGTCTTTCCTCTCATCACACCTCATTGATTAAAATACAAATTATTTTCCCAATAGTTTAAAATTATTCGGTCTGGCCCCAATTTGATATATCCTCTGTACTTATTTACTGGTAAGCTACTTGTGAATGCTTCTGCATAAATAATGTATTCTGTTTGAAAATGAGAAAATAAGCATCTGTTATATCATGAATTAAATAACTCAAAAATAATACAACTACAAAAACATAATATTTGAAAGACTGGCTGTTAGTTGTTAACGATGCCGATAAATACATTGTCGTGCAAATTTGGCACCAAATGTCAAATAAAGACATGAGACAGCTCGGAAAAGATGGAAGAAATCTTGTACAAGGTATAACATGGGATATCCCACTGGCCAGTTTGAGGTGTGAGAATCGGTAATCAAGTCGCATCTAATGATTTTCCAACAACTGTGTTCGTAGTTGTAGTTGCTTATAATTTTGTGGGTATTATTTTGTTTTTCGGAATTGTTGAGGTTTTTCAGTACTGGGTGAAAAATCTTCATATCTTACGTCAATTTCATTTGTTTCTGGTTTTTTCTCTCATTATTTTATACATCTAGTCAATAAATGTATGTGTTTCATGCATGTAAAATAAATATGGAGGTCATTAGTGATTCAATATAGATGTTAACTCATTCATCCCTGAAGACACATTTGAACTCTTCCAATTCAAAGGTTGGAATAGTTCATTATGAAATTTCAGGGGTGAATGAGTTAAGGATCCTGTACCACCGCCAAAACTGTGACTGAGTATATGTATTATATTCGCCATGACTGTAGCTTTGATGAATAATTTTTGAAAAGAAAACCATACCTCGCGGAACTTTTATAAGAAATGATCAAGATGAAATAAACAAACACTGTGAGACTAGACCGAGTTTCGAACCCTGAACTTGAGACTGATGAACTATCTCTCTACTCGAGTTCTAACTGGGCCAATTGAACTTGTTCTGCTAGTTAATTTTGAGACGGAAGTTAAGGGGAGGTTACCCCACATAGGAAAACCCCCAGTGCAGTGCGACAGGGATCCTGACTAAAAATGATCTTCCACCGTATAGGATTATAGTCTATATTCTTAGAGTGAAACATTTATGACTCAGGAGATACTTGAATTCATCAATTGTTGTGCTAGGTTACCACTCTTTGGGAAAAAGTATATATATACATATGTATATACAGTTTCAGTAATATAAGAAACCATAGATAGTTCTAAACGCTTTGGTTACCACATTTACAGTTTTGCAAAATTTATGTTGGTGGTATAAATGCATAGGTAGTTTTAAGTGTTGGGGTACCACAGTTAGGCTGATGTAGTTGTTCCAGCAAGTGTACAGCCTACCACAAAAAAGGGCTCAACCCATACATAATTCCAACAAAGTTTCTTTGTGTTTTTCTTGCACTTATTTATACAGAAGATAACATATCAAAAGTCTAGAAAAATCTAAATAGGGCAAAGTCTTGAAAATTACGTCTTACTTAAGACTATGCCCCACTTTTTGTGCCATTTAATTGTCCATGTTCATAAACATTTTGTATACGACAGAGTTACGTTTAAGACATGATGAGTTGTTATAGTAGTATTTATGGAAAGCTTAGACCTATATTGTTATTTTGAATGTAAGTTTAAGATGTTTTACAAATTATAAATCTTGTTAAAATGACACAAAACACCCATACCCCCTAAAATTTACCCCAAAAAATGAAAAATATTTCGATATTTTCTCAATAATTTCAAATATGTACATTGCACACATGTTTTTTGTTGCAACAACAACGGGTTAATCATATGTACTAATCTAATAAAAGACATGGACAATCGATGTCTTACAAATTAGGTTTGGTTATTTTCAATGCAAATATTTTCAGACAGGGAAAATTTTGATTTTCCATAGAGATCGCCCCGGTTGTCTGATATCTGTTAACATAATGTAGTGTTATATATCATTTTTGGAAAAACTATCCATCTATCAATGTCTTATATGCGTTTTATGTGTTTTATTATTGCAAGTGTCTTCATGGTATGATCGACTTATAGAAAACCTGACGATCATTTGCCACAACATGTTGCAAAACCTGACGACCATTTGCCACAACATGTTGCTCATTCCTAAACATATACATCTGCATCGCTTTGACGAGTGGGACAAGTAAAACGTTATGTTGTTACAGTATTATTAGAAAAAGTCATCCAGCATACATGTATTAGTCTGTTCGTAGTTCACAAAGTTTATGACACGACACATTATCTACTAGCTCAAGACGAGTTTGTTATCACGATTCGTCTTTCAAGTCACTTTCCACAATAAGGATTTGGCCGTTCGAACAACTGACACCCTTGCATTCACCACAACATGGGGTACATTCCAATCCATGCTTTCTACAGCTGCATCGCTTTGAGTCGCAGTTTGTTTTACAATTGCACCGGATAACTTTTAAAAGCAGTTCCGGTGCTGGTGGTAGGTGGGTCCTCATAGGAAGCAGTCTATCATTGGCGATATACCATCCCCATTCACACGGTGACAAATGCTCGGCTGGTCGTATCCACTGCTGTACCTGCAGATAGACTCGTTTGCTGTGATTAGCAGCAGCAGCAG